ACAACGACAGAATCGCAATGCGAAATGAAAATCGCAACGAAAGAATCGCAACGCGAAATGAAAATCGCAATGCGATTTTGGTTTCGCGTTGCGATCTTGTCGTTGCGATTTTGGTTTCGCGTTGCGATTTTGGTTTCGCGTTGCGATTCTGTCGTTGCGATTTTCATTTCGCGTTGCGATTTTGGTTTCGCGTTGCGATTTTAAGTTTCGTGTTGCGAAAGTAAACTATTTCTTCTTCTGCAAATTGAAACTTGAATGGATAAATTTACTTTCAACCAAAAGACAAAACAAAGACAAATACTATTTCACAGTGTTAAAGAATACACAGTTTAGCAGAATTGGCAGCAACCGAACAAATTTACTTTCAACCAAAAGACAAAACAAAGACAAATACTATTTCACAGTGTTATAGAATACACAGTTTAGCAGAATTGGCAGCAACCGAACAAATTTACTTTCAACCAAAAGACAAAACAAAGACAAATACTATTTCACAGTGTTAAAGAATACACAGTTTAGCAGAATTGGCAGCAACCGAACAAATTTACTTTCAACCAAAAGACAAAACAAAGACAAATACTATTTCACAGTGTTAAAGAATACACAGTTTAGCAGAATTGGCAGCAACCGAATAAATTTACTAAGCAATCTAAGTGAAATGGCTAATCTAAGTGAAATTACGAGTAAATTTATCATTAAGTTAAATATGGAAAATCTTAAACTTACCTCGTTGCGTAGAGTATGAACCTCATTCTGCAACGATACTATCATCTCACGTAGAGCGGCAACCTCACCACGTAAAGTTGACACCTCCACACGCCATGCACCATCGTTATCGCGTAGAGTACCGATCTCCTCACGCAAGGCATTGACCTCATCACGTAACTCCCTTGACTCATCCCGTTGAGGTGGAGGTGGAGAACAGGGAGATAGGAGTCGTGGCATCTTTGCCGGTCGCCTATCATGAGGTGATGGTGGAGAAGAGGCTCGATGATGTGACGGGATAGGTGATGGCTCTCGTTCTAGAGGTGTATAGTCGGGTCGATCGGGTGATGGCTCTAGGTGAGGTGATGGCTCTCGAATTGGAGGAAGTGGATGCTGCTCATCATCCGTGCCATCAAAAAAATTCTGACTAGCTTGCCACCAATCAGTGGCAAGCTCTTCCTCCGTGGGTGTCAGTCTTTGTAATGGAATGTTAGCCTCCTAAAATATAAAACTCAAACAAAGTTAAACGTCTACTATTAATAACTTGTTTATATATTATATGAAAGTATTTGTGTTAACTTACATTATTTATTGTGGCATATGGTATTAAGTCTTCCCAATCCAATAGAGTTTTCCTCTTCCAGGAAATAGCCCTGGGAATATCATTTGACGTTTTTATTGCATATGTACGCATGCTGGGGAAAGCCTCGAATATCCAAATCTACAAACAATATAATAACAAAATTAGTAATTGTTAAATAATTAATTATAATTTTAGAAACATTATATAGAAATTCTTACCTTAAAGGCCCAAACAAAGCCTGACAAAGTGTATTTGGACCCATCGCCCCGCAAACTTTTGCGGTCATCAAAAGCAGACGACAACTTAGTCCAGGTAGCTTTCCATATATACGAACCCCACGGAAACAGATTCCATGCATTCAGGTCCTCTACCAATATATTAGCTCCCGATGAATAGGTTGTCTGGCCTCTCTGCCTAAAAAGCCGGCATACACAAGTAGTAGAAGGCATACTCGGACAACATCGACGTCATCCATCCGAGTGAAACCAGCTTTCTTATTAAACAATTTCTTCAGGTCGTCGACATGTAGGTTCGGCTTCTCCATTGACTCATCCGGAAAAACCCGGGATAACCATGATGGGCGGGCGATATGACGAGTGTACCGGCCTACATCATCGTGTCCGAATCGTAGACCAGTGATTAAGCAGAACTCCTTCCGCCCAAAACAAGTATACGCTGGTGGAAAATGAAACCATATCTCTTCCTCACCACGTTGTATACTGTCGGGTAGATTTGATGTCATGGTCTGAAGCCACAAATGGGTCAAATTAGCATCTCCACCCGGATGCTGTACTCTCAGCCATGGCCCGAAGCAGGTTTCCTCAAACAATTGTCTTTGAGCAGGTGAAAGCTTCTTTGCAATTGTAGTGGCCAGGCTGACTTTATTTCTCAAGGTCAATTGAGCCGAAAAAAATTTCTACAAAAACAATAAACATACCAAGTTAGATATACCAAAAACTACACTGTGAAGATATACCAAAACAATAAACATAAAAAGTAGTAGTTTATTCTTGAAACTAAAATTTGCAACACTGTTTTGTCTTTTGGTTGAAATGAAAATCGCAACGAGAGAATCGCAACGCGAGATGACAATCGCAACGCGAAATGAAAATCGCAACGAGAGAATCGCAACGCGAAATGAAAATCGCAATGCGATTTGGTTTCGCGTTGCGATTCTCTCGTTGCGATTTTCATTTCGCGTTGCGATTCTCTCGTTGCGATTTTCATTTCTCTCGTTGCGACAGTCATTCTCTCGTTGCGATTTTCATTTATCTCGTTGCGACTCTTCTGCAAATTGAAACTTGAATGGATTGCATTACTTCAACCAAAAGACAGAACAAAGACAAAGACAAATACTAACTTGAAAATCGGAACGAGAGAATAGCAACGCGAAATGAAAATCGCAACGACAGAATCGTAACGCGAAATGAAATCTAAGTGAAATGGTTAATCTATTATTGAAATGACCAGTAAACTTATCATCAGTTTCAATATGAAAAACCTACAATAATGCAAACATTTCAAAATAAAAATAATTAAAAAAACTAACCCTCGGAGGTTGATTTTCCATTTCTGAATATTGTGAGGGATTTCTGACCGTGAATGGTTGTGAGGGATTTCGCCGGAGATGGGGACGGAAATCTTCGGAGATGGGGACGGATTTCTTCGCCGTAGAGAGTGAGAGATGGAGATGGGACTGAGTTGTGATTTTAGGTTTTAGGTTATGAGTTGCGATTACGGGATTTTGTCTTAATATTCTTTTTGTAATTTGAAAATAAAATACGCGTAGCGATTATAATGGCGCTTTAAATATCGCGTTGCGATTTACGGATACGCGTTGCGATTTTATGTATTATCGTTGCGATTTACGGATACGCGTTGCGATATACGGATACGCATTGCGATTTACCCATACGCGTTGCGATTTACGGATACACGTTGCGATTTACGGATACGCGTTGCGATTTATGTGTTCGCGTTGCGATTTTCATATTCGCGTTGCGATTTTGGAAAATCACAATGCGAATTTGTACTATCGCATTGCGATTTTCAAGAATCGCGTTGCGATTTTGGAAACTGATTTGCGATTCTGGGGATCGCGTTGCGATTTTTATTTCGCGTTGCGATTTTGTTGGTCATTTTGGCAAATCCAAAAAAAAGTTGGTTAAAATCGTATATTATAACTTTTTTTTGGTCACTGAGGCGATTTTCTCTAGTTAATATAAGTTAAATACAAACTTCAGCAAATTGAGACTAATGAGAAGCCTAACCTAGATGGTTTGCTTCCCTTTCTTACCCCCTTAATAAACCAGGTTCAAAACATGGTAGCATCCTTTATAGGAGTTCTTGTCACCAAAATTAATTAAATAATAATTTAAAAATGTCAGGTCAATTTTGCCGTTAAGTTTTTAACGATGTGGTATTGAAATAAAACAAAAACTTAAGTACTAAATAAGTAGTTTACCCTTAACTTTTTTATAATCAACAATAGTTAATTTATTAATAGATTAAATTGAATCAAATATTTAAAAATTTATTATCTAATTATATAATAATTTGAATATAATCTTTTAATATTTAATAATATTTTATAGTTAATTATATAAAATAAATTTATACATTTAATTTAATATCATTAATGATGATTTTATATTTTTACTATAATTAATCTCATCATTAATGATAGTAAAATTTATTATTCATTATTTTATAATTCACCTAAAGCGATGGAGGTTTTGGTAAGCCTGGAAAATAAAATTAATTATAATTACAATATATAAAAGTTTATGTTAGGTTTATTACAATTGTGGGGTTTGTCATCCCGCCTAGCTCTCTTTGATCCCAGGTTCGAATCCTCCTAACTCCATATAGTTTCTACTTTGTTTTCACTTTTCACGTTGAATAGGTGGTGACACATTCGCCACCTAGTAGGTGAGAAACTTTAGTTCATTAAAATTTTAAAATTAATTTAAAATGCTCTTAAATCAACTATTGACAAATGTCAGATTTTGATTGGAAGATTAATTTTTTGAATTAAATTCAAATTAGGATTAAATTGATAAAATATATAAGTAATAAGAACTAAATGTAGAATTATGTCAATTTTGCCAACTGTCACGTCTGTATGTTCGTTAAATATTAACGGTTAGTAGCTTGATTGACAACAATTAAATAGTTAGGTGATCTAATTGACAGAATTAAAAAATCGACAGTAAAAGTATAAAGGCTAAATAATTGAGTAGTCAATTGTATATTTTACCCTTTATTTTATTAATCGTTTAATTGATTTTTTTCTATTTTTTTAATTAATCACTAGTATTCGATTTATTGATCAATTAATCCAGATCGGATATGCAGAGACGAGTGCGATCCTCCCAACTCAGTTTGCTCCATTCACAAATATCATGATTCGAACTTCTGATCTTATTTAAGGGATCTAATACCTCATTCTATTAGACCAACTGATCAAAACCAACAAAGAGAAAACGTAAACCAAACATTATTTTTCTACTTTTTAACATTTAGACACAAACAAAGAGAAAATCTAAAACAAACATTATTTTTCTTGAATAAATTATCAAATAGTAATATAAAGAATATTCAACAGTGAAAAGAAATTACGAATTGATTCGGATTAAAAATATATTAGGGTGGACCTTAGTCCGTGACTGTGGCGTACCAAATGTATATGTATATATCTATATCCATTTCCAACGGCAGCACACCAGCAGTACAATCTCCTCTTCTATCCTTTGGAGCATCAGATTGTATTAAGGAAATGGAGCGAGGAAAAGGGCAAGGATTGATGGTGATGCCACAACAAAACCCACTTGAACAGTTGCAAGCGAAGTTCAAGGAGGTGGAGAACAATTTCAGGGGATGGCTAGCCAAGCAGTCGTTGCCCGTGGAGACCGCCGTGGTAACGACCACCAGCGCTGCTCAGGGTGCTGCTATCGGTGCTTTCATGGGTACCCTCACCAACGATGTCTCCTCCTCTCTTCCAACTGCTCCTCAGGCTTCCCTCGACCCCCAGGCCATGGCTTCTCTCAAGCAAGCTCAGGTCTTTCTCTTCATTTCCCTCTTGTTTACCACCTCCATGTTTGCACAACTGAAATCAGGGATGGACCGAGGGGCGGGTGGGGAAGCCGTCTCCTGAAATTTTAAGATTATCGTATATTTTAGATTTGTTCAATTTATTTTTATTGAAAATCTATGCTTGCCTCATGAAATTTTATAAATTTGTGTTCGTCCCTGACATAAAATTCTGTATCTGTACCTCACTTGTCATTACCACCGAAGGAATTTTACTTGGTTAATGAAGTTTGTAGTTCTTCTACAAAGAATTTCTCTCTAAATGTACAGAATTATTGATCGGTGTATGCAATTTTTTATGTATATAGATGTTTACTTGATTACAGGCTCTATCAGGAGGTCCCTTGATACAAGCTCGAAATTTTGCCGTGATGACTGGTGTCAACGCAGGCATATCTTGTGTTATGAAAAGACTGAGAGGGAAGGAAGATGTACAATCTAGGTTAACCTTTTCATCACAGTTTTCTTTTATCTCCATTGATTTCTTTCTTTTGTTTTGTAGCTAGAGGATATTGCAACTGGTCATAGGTTCATAGCTTAATAAACCAATAAAAGATACCAGTTGTTGTCTTGTTGATTGCTATAAAGGACATGTTATAACTGGTAACAGTTGAAAGGGAGATGAGTTGAATATATTATTGAGTTGTTACGGAGATAACAAATTTTGAAGCTTTTGTCTTGTTGAACTTGGCACTACCATATTTCCCTATCAATTTTGAAGCTTGGAGCTGCTTTGTCCATAAAAGAATATGCGCTCGTTTTCTTCTCATATTTTCTTTTCTAGATTCGACCTTCCTCGCTTTTACGTCTTGCTTTACAGTGGGTAATCTGCTTTCTGTATCTCCACTCAGCTCATCATAAATTAGAATTGATATATTATATGTGGAGAGCATTATTGGATAGTTATTGTGACTATCTGAAGATTGCATGGATGAACCAAGCTTGTTTCTGAATAAAGAATTGTTGGCTTCGTTTTTCTTATCTGGTATCGGATGATCGTTATACTTTAGGTTTACACTGTTGTTTAAGATGAATACTGTATGTTGCAGCATGGTGGCAGCTTTTGGTTCTGGGGCCATATTTTCCTTGGTAAGTGGTATGGGTGGCCCAAATCAGATTGCAAATGCTGCTACATCTGGTCTTTTTTTCGCTCTTGTTCAAGGCGGTCTTTTCCAGGTGATTTATCTTCTCATTAACCTCTCTGAGATCAATGTATTATTTGATATCTGGTTATTAATTGCTTCGCTTGTTATGAACATGATGGAGTAGTTGTAACATGCTGTGCCGAAACTTTAGAATCAATTGTTCTTTGAAAGTGTCTATATCTATGAGCTTAAAATTCCACTTCTAACAGTTGAGTACTCTGAATGAATACTACTTTGAAATACTGTTATACTAGCCTGCAGTGTCATATCAAACAACCTTTGTTTTGTGATTAATTATACAGTTGGGGCAAAAGTTTTCGCAACCTCCTGCTGAGGATGTGAACTATTCCAGAACAAGATCCTTGTTAAGTAGTCTCGGCCTGCAGAACTACGAGAAGAATTTCAAGAAAGGCTTGTTAACAGATAGCACATTGCCTTTGCTCACGGATAGGCAAGCAGATGGATTGTCTCGATTCAATTTCGGAATTAATATTTTATGAACTGTGTAGGTAGATATACTCTGATTGCCTTTCAAATAATGTTGTGTTTCAGTGCACTTAGAGATGTGAAAATACCACCCGGACCCAGGCTCCTTATTCTTGATCATATTCAGAGGTTCGATTCTATCTTCCTTGTAGGATAATTATACATTGTCCTTGACCGCTGGAGCCTTTCTCACCTTCTGGTCTAATATTCGTCTTTAGGGACCCGGAGTTGAAAGAGAAGCAAGGGCGACGACGGTGAGCTTATATCGTCAAGCTGTTTCGCCATGGCGGGGCATTTTACAATTTATCTGAAACCAAAGAAGGGTAGTTCGTATCTTCTCCAATGAAACGAATTATCCTTTTTATTTCTTGCTGTTCTGAGCATCCAATTTGGATAAACATGGTTGTTTAGAATTCTTTAAACAAGTTTTCTATAGCTTTAATTTATTAAGTAGTTTCAATTGTTGTTATAAAGATGACATAGGCATGAGCTTGAGATATGAGTGAAGTTATTGTGGTATTTTTATCCTATCCATCTTAGAATCCAATTAAAGTCTCCTGTCGCTGTTCATTGTTTTACTACCGTCGGCTGCCATTATCAATGGTGATTGGACCTCAAAATTTAAGTTAATTTTGTTTGTCTCTATAACGTAAATTTGATGTATATTTTATCTAAAAGTTGTCTCGACATGAACTATTAGTGCACTATTAATAAATAATCAAATACTTCTAATAATATATAATTTCTTTTAATACTTTAATAAATGATATATCCTCTTTTAATAATTATCAAATGACAAATTTATTGAGATAATGTATTGAGAAAATGAATTTGTTGATATGGGTTGTTTAAATAGATGAATGCTACGGTCAACTGAAAATTGTATGGATTATCTGGAGGATGTACGGAAGATACAATGTCTTCTCGCATTGGTTCTCTCGTCTTTTTTTGTCTTCCCAAGTTCCATGTAGAAGATGTCGGATTTTTTATGTAAAAGATGCTTAATCTTTTATGTATCTTCATGAATACGTCAGGTAGTTCATGGGTCCTCCATTATGTACTATAAAACCTATCCTATTTGTAAAAAAAAAACTTGAGATGATTGCACAAATCAAGTGGCCACCATAGTAAAGGAAATGTTGTTATTTATTGAGGACTCGGGTTCGAGCACTATAGATGCCAATGGTATGAGCGTTCAATGTCAAAAAGTTGAGAGTTTATCTTTGAACATATATTACCTTATACTTACCCCAAATTAATAACAAAAAAATTGGGATGATCATTTGTAATACCTCAAATTTTGGGTAGTAGTTTTTGGTTTACCCGAGGGGTAAGTGGACCCCATGAATCTCATATTTTAAGTCATCGGGATTAATTGAGTTGAAATTGAGCCCAATTAATCATTAAAAGGAGATTTTTGAATTTTAGAAAGATGAGGCAGGACATATAATGCGATTTTCCCATTTTAGAAAGATGTAGACTTTATATCTCTTTCATTACCATTTTTCTCTTCATTTGTTTTTTTTTTCTCATTTTCTCCTTCTCCCATTTTCTCTCCAAGATCCATGGCAAAAAGTTAAGATCTTGAGTCCTTTTTATGCTTCAAATTCATCCATAATCCCTCCATTAAACTTATATTAATGTTTCAAAGCCTTGGGTTCTTTGAGTGCAAGAAAATTGGGGGGTTTTATCATCCAAGTTATGGTGGAGGATGATTGCTAGCTAAAGGAGCTCTATTTCGGGATTCAATCATCAAGGTAGTGTATTTCTAATCTTTTGGAGTATTAAGCTTTCATAAATTTCAAGAAATTGCTAAGATTTGTGTAGTTGAGCATATAAGGGTTTAAACTTGATTTCAAGAATAAACGACGTTTTAGGTGTTAAGAAAGTTTTTTTATGACACCTTGATACCCTAGTTTAACTCTTTAAAACTTTAGTACATGATTTAGAATCAAACCATAGCCTTTAGAGTGATTTTAGGCATTTTCTTGAGCCTAAAATAACTATTTTAGGGTTTGAGTATCGATACTGAAATGAACAATATCGATAATGGATGAATTAGGGTAAAATTAGGGATTGCAAGCAGGGAGTATCGATATTGTGCCTACAATATCAATACTCAGGGTGATAATATCAATATTGAGCCCCTATTTCAGCAACATACTGCATTTTTGGTACCAATACTCGTAGGAATATCGATACTTGAACCTAGAGTATCGGTACTACAAGTAGAGTACTGATACTATCCATCTCGGATGATCAGATTTGACCTGGTTAAGGTTTGTAAAACCTAGGGATGGTCCGTAAGGATAGAACTTAGTCCGTAAGGGACGTAAATGACCAAAAGTGTCCAGCGACACTTGTAGGAGTGGACTACAACCAGAGTAACCATTGCAGGCATAATGCATCCAAGTATCTTCCGTTAAGCTTGTAGCAAGTATCTATGGATGAAAGATCAGGGCACATGGTGTACAAATAAGAGGTATGACCAAATAATCAGATTATGAAACAACAGTGCCGTTGACTACAAGGACAACAAAGAGTGTTGGACGTACAATTATTCCTTTAATTCGAGGGTGAATTAGGGAAAACGTAGTAATAGCGAATAGAGTATCGTTATTGAAAAATGAACCTGAGTCAGATATCGGGCTAGCCAGTATCACATCCAGTAACCAACAAATACAATAATCATCGTGAAGTCCCAAAACGCATAGAGACTTCCCTAGAGTTAGAGAATGATTAAAATGCCCTTAAGTAGTGAATAACCAGATCAATACATTATCAGTAGTAACAAATTAATAAACCCTCGCACCATGTTCTAGATGAGAGAATGAACGAGACAATAGTAGGGAGGTACAATAATCGAGAGCAGAAATAACCTATAATAACTAAAGAGATATGTATCATAAAAATAACCTTTGTGTGACACTCGAGAAATAGCCAGGACACCTGAGTTACTTTAGCAGTAGGGTAATTATCTTGTTTGTTAGTATGTCCAGGTATATACCAGTCAGTGCCAAGGTACTTTAGATGCCAGATGGGCTTAGATGCCCTAAGACTCGACGGAGTAAGTTGATATGGTGTATGTTTCTGATGCAGCTATAGATCTCACCCTAAATATCCAAGGGGCCGAGTGTACATCTCTGATGCAGTTTCGGATCTCACCCAGGTACCCAAGAGTATTTCGACTGGCTAGAGGCATGCGTGAGCTTTGAGATGCATAATCCTTAGCCGTAACATGATGTCAGCCATAACTTGTGTGTTGCATAATAGTATCAACATTGCATTCAGATAGTTCATAGCAGAGCTAGTATCGTATTCAGATAAAACATAACCGAGATAGTATTACATTCAGATAATGCATATTAGAGTCAGTATTGCATTCAGTTAATGCATAATAGAGTCAGTGTTGCATTTAGATAATGCACATCATGGTAGGTGTTGCATTCAAACAATGCACATAAGAGTTAGTGTTACATTCAGATAATGAATAGGAGTACCAATATCACATTTAGATAATGCGCAACAAATACAATCATTAGGGTTAGAGACCCTTTAGAGATGTACTCATGTCTAAGCCCTTAGTAGAGAATTTAGGGAAACATGAGACACCTACTTCAGTAATAGGACAACTATGCCTTAAGTAGGTAGCACTTGATCTAGATCATGCATGTACCTACTGCTTAGTACCATGTCTTCAACATGCTTATGTTTATGATATTCATATGCTTCTCTAGATTAGCGATTATACTATTGGGTTTGTAAGCTCAGCCTTCAGATGTTTTCCATGGGAAGGTTTGTAACTTGAGCAGTTCGTGGAGCATCATCATATTAGGACTTCCAGTATCTCTTTCAGAGTATTGTATCGTAACTTAGTGGGATATGTATTCATAGAACCTTACTCATATATTCAGTTTATTAAACTCAGAGTTTGTAATATTTTGGTTTTAAATTATGTGTCATGGAGCTCCAGTTTTATAAAATGTTTTATAACAATTATTTATGTGTAATTATGACACCATTCAGAATGTTGAAAAGAAAATAAACATGTTTTAAAAACCAGGGGTTGCCTCAGTAGCCTAATGTGACACTTTAGGCCCAATTGGGTTTAGGGTGTTACATTTAGTGGTATCAAAGCGTTAGATTGAGTCGATCCTAGGACCTAGAGGTTGGTTTTAGTAAGGTGTCAGTACATACCCCTAGGTACTAAAAGTACTTGTATAAGTCTGGAATGCTGATGGTGTTCCTCCTTTAACCTATGTTGTAGAATTTACGATGACAAATAGTTTTAATCGTAATTTAGAGAATCAAATAGAGAGATGAGCCTCTAATCCTGATAAAATCAGTAAGGGAAGTTTTACCAATGGCAGAGGTTATTGGAGTCTCGTTAGCCGCGGGCGTCACAAAGGTGATCTTTTTCAGAGGTATAACTTCCACTCTCAGAGAGATAGGTGATGTTATTCCTAGAGCGCAGACAGTTCAGTCAACCACCCAGGGTACGTTAGTGCCAACAAAATCCTCAGTAGAGAGGCTAAGGAGGTATCAAACAATCGACTTATTCAATTCAAGCAGTGATGATCCTCTTTTTATCGATCATTGGGTAAGGGAGACCGTGAGAATTTTAAGGCAACTTTATTCTATTCGAAGGTTAAGCAGAAATGTGTCACCATTTTGATCAAAGAGATGTTATCGATTGGTGAAAAACTGTAGAGATGGTCCTACAGCCAAAGGTGCCCACGTGCAATCAATTCTCAGGCGAGTTCAGAGCAAGTACATTAGTGAGGCGTATATGGATGATTTGAGAATATAGTTCTCTCAGCTAATTCAGGTAGATCACTTAATGTATTAATACGAGAGAGATGACCCTTTTAGGTTGAGTCGTTATGCTCTGGAGCTGGTTGTGACCGAGTCCTTGGAGTGCAAGAGTTATGTTAAGAGGCTTTATTTTGATATCAGTGTGTAGTTAACGACAGATCCACTTAAAGTGTTTCAATATAGAGCATAAGGATGAGTTGTTGGGTGAGTCAGACACCCCGAGTATAGGGAAATATGTATCAGTAGGTCTGTCTCAGTTAGTGACAGAGAGGACCAGAGGTCCATGTGAGCAGAGAAGAGTGACATCAGCTCAGTCATTTCAGTTGAGTCAGAGGTCAATTGTAGTGTCTCATAGGAGACCGTCAACTCCACCATCAATGGTGAACTTTAGAAGCTCCAATAGAGTTTTAGATTATCTAGAGTACAAGCGTTGTGGTAAATATTAGTGAGGAAGATGCTTCAAACTTTCAAGGAAGTGTTATGGATTTGGATCCTTAACGCAAGACATAAGGGGTTACCCTAGTTAAGAAGCAATGTTTCAGTTCGATTGAGGGACATGATCCCAATAGTTTGACATGATTGAGAACCCTCATAGGAAGATGTGAATTCTATGCTCAGATAGAAGAGTAGTGGAGCGGATGGACCAATTCTCGATTCAGCTTGGTAGATTACGGAGAGACAGGGTCA